TATAGAGTTCTATAGATTTCTTTTAAGGGAGGGGGTTCAAGCGGGGTACCAAGGTTCCCGAATGCTCCCCACAACTCCCTAAGGCTCCCTAAGCTTCCCTAAGGGTTTCTAGAAGCCCTTCTTTGAGTCTGCATTCTTGAGGCCTTCCATGCCTGTTCACATATCACAGTCCTGAGCTGTTGAGCCGTCGCGCCCTGCGGGGTTGCATGTTCGGCAGCGAGAGACAGGTGATGTCGAAAACAGCGATACAGACTCAGACAGTTCAAGGCCTCTTCTTGCGCTTGCCCTTCTGTCGCTGCTGCTCGGCCTCTGCATCGATAGAGGCCATGTAGGCCTCGAGTGGGTCCTCGCCAGCCTCAACAGCCTCCTTCTCCTCAGCCTTTTGGGCTGGGATGTTCTCTTCCTCGTGCTCCTCTTCGGTTATGCCCGGGCAATGTTCATCCATATCCTTGGTGGAATCATAGGTGCACCCGCAAAAGAGGCAGTAGCGGTGCACAGCACGGAGGTGCGTAAGGAGCTCCAGGAGCCTCTGGAGAGCGAGGGCGGGGTCATTGAGCTCAAGGCGCTCGTTGTAATTGGGGAGTAGCTCGTTGGCTGCGCCCGGCCAGGGTTCGGTCTGCCGGGCCCGGGCCACCTCCTCCTCCACTTCCCGTGCCGCCTGTGTGGACTCTGGCGGCCAAAGCGGGCTCTCCGTCATCCCAGCGTTCCGATCCAGGTGCTCCACCGAGCGCTCGGCCGCCCGGACGTGCTCCCGCATCTTCCGCGTGCTGAAGCGAAGGCGCAGGCCGCCCTCGTAGCGCAGGCGCAGGGCCGCCTCTGCACGCTCACGGTGCCGCAAACGTTCCTCGAACTCTTCCCAAGTCTTGGTGTCCCACCAGCGGGCTTTCCGCTCCTCGTCGGTGGGGGGTCCCCCCATCGGGCCCGGTGCGCCCGGCGCCCTCGCTGCCCTGCTTACTTTGGCTGCCTTGGCTGCTTTGGCCTGCAACCCCGCCTCTCTGAGGCACTGCGCCTGGCCCACCGTCGATGACAGCTTCTCAAAGGCTTCGCTGAGGGCCTGGAATGCCTCCTTGGCCTGCGGCTCCTGCAATCACACCGGAAATCATGTCCTTCTCAACCGCCCACACACTATCGTGCACTTTTACATGTCCACGCGGCCCAAGTTCGAAATGGGCCACCACCTAAAAGCACATTGCCGTAATTTACTCACTTGCGAACTTGTTCTGTAGCTCTACTTGCCCTTTCTCTGCCGACTCCTTGCATTTGTCAGGATGCACTGCCAGGGCCAGTCGTCGGTAATGGCTCCGCACCACTGCCACATCCACTGCCTCGGGCTCCAGCTCCAAACGAGCAAACGGGTTGGCTGCTGCCAAAATCCTGGCGACGGCCATGGAAACTCTGTGCTTGTTGCTGCTTGCTTATCCGCACAAGTAGGCTGCTCGGAGCTACATACAGTACTTTAAGTTCGACTCGAGGAAGAGCTGTGGCATGGGCTAGATGCTCGAGGCGCTCATGTGCTGGGGATGAAGGACTGTCATCAAATTTGGACCAACTGGCGAAGGGCGAGTCAGAACTCAGCCCTCAAACATGGCACACAGACTTCATTAATCAAGCTGGCATGTTTCCATCTTGGCATTCTGAGCACTTTGTCCGATCCTGGTAGCTACCCCCCATGAACCCCCCTCCCTGAAGAACCCCCGAATTAGGTAACAGGCAGTCCAGGCAGGAGTTCGCCAGTCGTCAGGGTTCCTACTTTGTGGCATATCGATGTCAAGGTAGTTAGGGGTTTAGGGCTTCGGGGTTCATCTGCAGAAGTTCCTAGACCCAAAACCCAAAACCCTAAATCCCGAACCCTAAACCCTAAGCCAGCCAACCTAAAACCCTACACAGAACACCCTGAATCCCTAAACCCCAAAACGCCCCTGCTTACTGCGCCGCTCATTTTGCTAAGTCCTGTTGTCTTTGTCTGCGTGCTTCGCTCTCGGATATGCCGCGGGGTCACACCCCTTGTTCTGGGCCCATGACGGTTTTAGGGTTAGGCTTTAATGCTTTTGGGGCTTAGGCTTTAGGCTTTATAGGTTTCAGGGTTTAGGTTTAGGGTTCAAGGCTTAGCGTCTAGGGCTTAGGGTCTCGGATTCAGGCTTTGAACTAGGGGTTTATAGTGTTTAGGATAGCCTAGACGCTCAGACTGTAGCCCCCGAATCAAGAAACGATGGCAAGCCAAATAATTTAGGGTTTAGGGTTTAGGGTTTAGGGTTTGAGGGTTTGGGGTTCAGGGATTAGGGTTTAAGGTGCAGGGTTTAGGGTTTCTATGTACAAGGGAGCCCTAGCCTAGCCCTTCGGGGAGGAGGGGGGGGGGGGGGGGGGGGGGGGGGGGGGTGAGGGTAGCACTTCGTCCTAGTTACTGGGCTTTTGGAAAGTCTAGTGCTTCGGGGGCTCCCGGCCCGACTCTACATGTAAGGTCGGACCCAACATGGAGGCACTTTTGCAGCGCTTTGGACGTGCACTCTTGAAAGAAGCGCGCCCCGGCCGTGAGTCCTAGATGTCTGCGTGGAATAGGACACGTCCTGCATGCCCAAACCTAGAGCTACAGCTTGAGGATTCAGGATTCGGGGTCTTTCTACGTCCTGCGGAACTTCTTTTGAAGAAAAAAGCAGAAATTTCATGACTGCTTCTCAGAATAACGAAATTACTAATAAAAAAACTAGCAATGGTTATTGTACGACATACGGTCTACGTAGTGTAGGGCTCGGCATGTTTGTACCAGAACATTTGTGCACCCGTCAGCCAGCTAATCACAACATGACAGCCCTACTTTTCGTGGTTCGGCATTGTCGGACATCTCTCTATTCCATCCTAGTGCTTGCATCGTCGAGGGTGGGACGTCTATGCGCGCAGCGCGTGGGGGCCCTTCACGCGGGACTGAACTGAGTAGGTGTATCACCTGGTGAAACTAGTAGACCAACAAGCTGATCAAACCCAAACCCGAACCCTAAGCCCTGAACCCCCCCTATACCGAAATCCCAAGCCCTAAACTCTGAACCCAAACCCGAAATCCTGCAGCCAACCCTGTGCCCAGTACCTCAGTTCAGCGAGTGGGAATAGTCTATGGCCTCAAGATTGATTCTACTAAGGCCTTTGAGGCTTAGGGTTTAGGGTTGCAGAGTTTAGGTTACAGGTGGGATGGTTAAAAGGATTGGGGCTTGTGACCTTAGGCTTTCTAAACCAGCTAGACCCTCCAGACCCACTCAACCCCTTCAACCCCCTAAACCAACAAAACCCCTGATCCCAAACCCCCTAAACCTCCCAAACCGCCTAGACCTCCTAATGCCCTAACCCTTAAACCCTCAACCCTAAACCCCAAACCCCAAAGGCCATGCCAAACTCCAGGGCCCCACGACCCGACAAACCTCGACGCTCGAATTGATGGAAGCATCTGAGCCGCTTTGCAGCTGCAGCAGCCCTTGAGATTCATGTGTGCGTGGGGGGGGGGGGGGGTGGGGTAGGGGTTTGGGGGTAGGGGTTTGGGGTTTGGGGGTAGGGGTTTAAGGGCTTGGGGTTACTGTAAGGCGTTCAGGGGTTTGGGGGCTTGGGGGTTTAGGGGGTTTGGGTTTTGAAGGGGGTCCCCCCCATGTGCATCCAGAGCAGCGTAAGCATGTGCCAGAAAGTGTGTAGTAAGTGTTACGCCCAACTCTACACTCTACTAGCTCTCAAAGCAAAAATGCCATCACAACAGGCTCTTGGTGCTCAGTTGGTCCCGGCCCACGCATGCTGACCCCCTACACACCGACACCTACGACACCGAAACCTAAGCCACGAGGCCCTAAACCCTTGCAGCCGAACAGCGCATGTTTCCTCAGCCGATCATTGCTTTCAAGGACCCCGAAACCTAAACCGTAAAGCCCAAACCCTCTAGACCCCAAACCCTAAGCCTACGCCGCTCCAGGCTGTGCAAAGGATTCCCCTTCCTCTGCACTCTTCCCCGATAGTCGCAGGCAGGGTCGTCCAACTCTGACTCCGGTACGCCCAAGACCGTTAAGCTTATGAGCGTCCTAAACAAAGCCGTTCAAGGCTGCTGCAGAAAAAAAAGCTCCTGAATGAGATCCTCTAAACCATGGTTTGGTGCGTGTCTGTAGTGCTCCGTCGGTTGCAGGGCTTATGAAGCTGTCGAGGAGATGAGGGGTTTACAACTTCAGGGGCTTTAGGCTTCAAGGGTCTTAAGCATTGAGTTGGGACTCCATGAGTTCAGGGGCTTTCATGGGTTCATGAGCAGACCACTTTGCAAAACCAACAAAAGACGACAAGGATGCAAACCCTACACCCTAAACCCTAAACCCTAAACCCTAAACCCTAGCACTGCACAGGGTCTTACTTTCATCGTTCTTGGGTGACCCTGCTCCTGCGCCAAAGCATTTGGGGACAGGTCACACTCCTGCCGAATTCGCTTCGACGGATCGCAGTGACGACGAGAGGTCTCGTGTTCAGGGACTCTCATAGGAGGTTTATGAATCCACACTCCCTAGCCCAACCCTAAACCCTTAGCCCCTTAGTCCTAACGTGCCGTGAAGGAGGCACCCGCTCCCCCCTCTTGAGAGTTCGCCCCTCCGTCACTGGTACTACCCATCAGCCGAAATCACTGCTCCGGCTACAGGACCACGGACTGGCAACGTGTTTGGGGTTTAGGGTTTAGGGTTTTTGGCTGAGGGGTTGGAAAATAGGGTTTAGGGTTTAGGGTTTGGGGGCTGGGGGGTTTGCTGTTTGGGAGTCCCGGAGCTTTCCTCGGGCTGGCGTGAGCTCGTGGAACATCCGGAAGGCAAGCGCACCGCTGAGCCACCTGAACACTGTCACACAGAAAGCGGCGTCTTCTGGCTTCGGATCAAAAACGCTGATAGGAGATAACACAGGAATTCTTCTCACAATTCACGAAGCAGAACTACAAAGCTATGAGAAAAGGCAAAAAGCAAAAAAACACACTCGGCCGCAACAAGACATTCTGGGACGCCTCAGCCACCGGCCCTGGCCGTGGTGAGCTGGCCGAAGGTGACATAGGCGGTGATGCCTAGGACTTAACGGGCGCTTTCCAGGGGGGTGGGGGGTTGGTTTGGGGTTTCAGGGTGTATTGAAAGCGGGGGGTTTTGGTGCTAAACCCTAAACCCCAAACCCGAAACCCTAAACCACGAATCCTAAACCCTAGGCCCTATAAACCCTAAGCCCTAAGCCCTATGGACCCCAAAAGGCCTTTGGAGTTCAGTCGGAGCATGCTCGGGGACTTGGCAGCTTTATGGCTTCGGCGGGCAGCCGATGTACTTCGGGTTTTGGGTTTAGGGTTTATGGCTTAGGGCCTTGCACTTTAGGGTTGAGGGCTTCGCCTTCAGGATCTTGGGCCCTAGCCCTAACCCTAAACCCTAAACCCTAAACCTGGGAGGTCATCCCTAAACCCCTTCATCTTTGCAAACTCCCAAGCCCTCAACGCCCACGACAGTAAACACCCAGGAACCCCCAGAGCCGAACTTTCTCCTGAACCCTAAACCCTAAACCCTAAACCCTAAAACCCTAAAACCCTAAAACCCAAACCCTAAACCCTAAACCCTAAACCCTAACCCTAAACCCTAAACCCTAAACCCTAAACCCCAAAAAGGGACGCGTCCGGGTGGCTTTGTCCTTGGAAGATGGCTCCGCACAGGTGGCCCTGTGCCTGCCGCGCCAGCTCCGGACTCTGCATCTCCTGGGTTCTGGGTTTAGGGTTTAGGGTTTAGGGTTTAGGGTTTAGGGTTTAGGGTTTAGGGTTTAGGGTTTAGGGCTTGGGGCCGTTTAGGGTTTAGGGCCGTTTAGGGTTTGGGGTTTGGGGCTTGGGGTTTAGGGTTTAGGGTTTGGGTTTGGGGTTTAGGGTTTGGGGTTTGGGGTTTTTGGGTTTGTGGGGTTTGGTTTGCGGGTTTTTGTGGTTCAGGGGGTTTGTGGGCATTTATACCGTGTAGCGGGCTGCAAGGCGCATTGTGGGGGGTGGGGGGGGGGGTGGGGGTGGGGGGGGGGGGGGGGGGGGGGGGGGTGGGGGTGGGTGGGGGGGGGTGGTGGGGGGGGGGGTGGGGGGGGGGTGGGGGTGGGGGGGGGTTGAGTTCTGGTGGTGGGTTTCGGCTGTTTAGGGGGGCAGGCCTTTGAAGGGCTTTTTTTTGAGAGTTTTAGAAATACGTTTGCCCTGAACCCCACCGTTGAAGGTTTTGAGGTCTTCGAAGTGTGAGGCGTTGAAGAGCTTTGGGGCGCATCTGGGGGGCTGTGCTTTGGGCCCCCTTCGGGCACGGCTTTAGGATTTGGTTTTGGGCTACAGTTTCCTATTTTGGGGCCATAGTAGCCTCTTGTTTTGGGGAGGCGTTTCATATCGGGCCTATAGGGTTCCGTTCAGGTGCTTCTCATGGAGTGTTCGTTGCATTCGCTTGTCTCTCTTGGACTAGTTGTCGCGGGAAACTGTGTACTGGGTGCTGGTGCGAGATGAAAAAGGGGGCTTGGTTGATCAGACAGGGCTGCACGGGCTCATTGGAAGGCGTTGGTGAGGCAGTTGATCTGCGAGAGATCTTGAGGCTGTCTGCATGCTAAAAGGCATTTTGCACTTCAGCCTCTATCCCAGAATTTAATTCGGCCCTGCTACTCCCTTGTCCTCCTGGCCTCTGCAGTGACTCTACATCCTGCATGCCAAACCCATCCAAAGACTGTCAGCTTTGAATAGCTCTTGGTGTTGAAATTCCTGGCTAGAGCCTGAAAAGCTGGAGCTCTTGGGGATTTCACGTAAAGCGACAACACGGAACAACCTCCACCCTAAACCCTGAACACTAAACCCTAGAATCCCTAGAACTAGAACCCTAAACCCTAGACCCTAAACCCCGAAGTTTAGGGTGTCTAGGTTGCCCAGTAGCCTTGGACCAAACACGGTGCCCTTGTTTTGCTTAGAGGGGCTTCTAAGAAAACCTAAACTCCCCAAGATGGGGATGAGGGCTACTAGGTATCCTAAGTTGTGGCCCGAAATAAAGCAGCAAAGTCTCCACTAGCCATCCACCGCCATTGGCTGCCTCTGCACCCAACATGGCCTGGACTCCATCCATCTGAGGTTTTAGGACTTAGGGTTTAGGGCTTGGCATTTCGGATTCAGGGTTTAGGATTTGGGGCGCTCTTGGGGCTGAAGACTTCAGGGGTTTAGAGGTTTGGGTTTCTGGGTTTGTGGTTTAGGGTTTCAGAGTTTGCCCTAACCCAAAAACCCAAACCCTAAACACTAGCATCAATGCCTAAACTCCTGTGAAGTGGCGTAATCCTCCCCCTATGTGTATATCATACTCCCTAATACATACATATGTGCATACTTGCACCATATACTACCATGATACCAATCTCTATGAAGAGCGGTGGCGATGGAGATGGGCATATTGGGAGGTTCTTGTTGTGCAACTTAGTTGCCACGAGAAGGTTGTATAGCCAATACCATGGTGCCCTCATCATGGTAAGTCACTCTCCTGTGTTTAAACCCCGCCCCTAGAACCTTAAACCAATATGTTTAATATCCTTTGGGTTTTATATAAACAAACAGTTCCCAAGGGGGATATAGTAAGCCCTAAACCCGAAACCCCAACCCTTGCACCCTAAAGCCTGCTGCATGGTCCCTTGATATGGGCCCATACATGGGGACCCCGTATTTCCCCCCAAAATACCCTATAAAAACCCAAGGGCCCAGACATGCCCAGACTTCAGAACCCTTTAAAGGAGGCCAATGGAACTACCCCTGAACTGAGATCGTAGTAGCCCTGAACCCCAAACCCTAAACCCTGAACCCTAAACTCGCGGGGGGGGGGGGGGGGGGGAACCGCCGAGATGCTGGTCCAAAGTTTGGATCGTAGGCCGGGAGTCCGCTGCAGATGCACGTGATCATCTCAGTGACATCCTCTTTGGGGTGTTTGTGGTTAGGGTCTAGGGTTAGGGTGCAGGGTTTTCGGTTTCGGGTTTAGGGTCCCGGGCTTAGGGTTGATAGGACTTAGGGGTTTTAGGTAACCCGAAGCTCCCTAAGCCCCCACAACTCCTAGCCTCCGGAACACCAGACCTCTGTGGTGGTCCGCGTAAGCACGTGAATTAAGGTCCTCTTTCATGCCTTAAACTAACTAGTCCCAATGCCAAGAGCAACATAGGGGCAGATAAGGAACCTAAATTAAGCTTGCCAGGCCTGGTCAGTGTTCTAGAGTTACCCTCAAGGCCCCGCCACCAGGGTTTAAGGTTTAGGGTTTAGGGTTTAGGGTTTAGGGTTTAGGGTTTAGGGTTTAACCGAACTCGAAACCTAAACTAGACAAGACCGCATCCGCCTGGAGAGTGTCCTCGCTGGGGGGCAAGTTGCCTCAGAAAACCATCCTTTTCCCCAAGGCTTCTCGTTAGAGCCTCTTGGATGCTCTAGGTTCCTTGGGGACACGTTTGTGGCCCACATACCTTCATAGGGATTGCAGTGGCATAGGGTATATGACCCCAATTTTATTCAGTTTTAGGGTTCATTCGGTCCCTAAGGTTGCTGATGGTTCTAAGGATTCTGGAGCCCGTCTTGGGGTGTCTACGGCTCATTTATTTTCAGCTTCGAGGATGTCAAGCGTGCAGGATCACAAGGTTGCGCGGCGGTTTAGGGGTTAGGGTTTAGGGTTTAGGGTTTAGGGTTTAGGGTTTAGGGATGCAGTCAAGCAGCCAAGGTAGAGGTGCCTCATGCTCTGGAGGGACTGCGGCGGCGCGGGCGGCGCCGCCTTGGTGGTCGCTCCGGGAGGCGGCGTCTCGGTCAATGGAGCCTCCAGTGGCAGGCTCTTCTGGGGTAGGGGTTTAGGGTTTAGGGTTTAGGGCTTAGGGTTTGGGACCCTATGAACCCCAACAATAACCGGGAAGGGTTCAGGTTCGGTTGTAACTTCGAGTGTTGAAGCCCGCGGACCCTGAACTCTAAACCCAAAACCGCCTGGCGACCTAGAATTCTGAGCCTCCAAGTATTCTAGAGTCCTTAAGGGAGGGGTTTCAAGGGGTTATGTAACCCAATGTTCCCAAATGCTCCTCACTGCTTGGCTCCTGGTGTAATATTGGCTGCGCGACTTGGGCTGTGTCGGGTTTCGGGGTTCAGGCTTCAGAGTTTGTCATAGAAGCCGAATAGAGGGACCTGAAAAGCAGCCCCCCCCCCCCCCCCCCCCCCCCCCCCCCACCCCCCCCCCCCCCCCCCACCAAAAAAAAAAAAAAACAAAATAAAAAACACAAACAAACAAAGGGCAGAAGTCGAATTTAGCAGGTTGCGACTACCATGAGCCGTAAACCTTAAACCCTAAACCCCAAACCCTAAACCCTAAACCCCAAACCCCAAACCTAACCCCTAAACCCTAAACAACTCAAGAGCTGCAGCCAGCGGCTGGGGCGGCGGGCGGCGGGGGCATCATCACCTTTGGCGGCGGCGGCAGCATCGAAAGATGTGCGCCATCTCCATCCTCCTGAAGGGCAAGGGGGGGCCAAGGAAGAGGTGGGGTTTAGGGTTTAGGGTTTAGATGTTCCCCCTTATAGTAACCATCCATAGTAGACATCATAATAGGGGGTACTATGATAAGGATTGTAAGTATAAGGGGGAACATCCTCCTGAAGGGCATGGGGGCCAAAAGCAAAAACGGCAGGACGTGGGCTGTGGTAAGGGCTTAAGGTTCAGGGTTCAGGGCTTAGGGCTTAGGGTGGTTCAGGGTTTGGCGCAACTTCGCTTGGCAGGCTGCGAGCCGCATTCGTGAAGGGCCGAACTGATGCTCCAGAAGCCCTTCTGGCGGCCTACGCCACAGCCCCAAAAAGTGCGGAACTACAGAGCCTAAACGCAAAAAACCCTAAAAGCCCTCAAAAATCCTGACCAGAACGAAACAAAACAAAATCACGCTTGAAACACCTAACCCCAAAGACAGCCTTGAGCAAAACAGAAAGACCGTGAAAAAGAACCCTAAGCAACCCTCAACAAAAAAAACACTCTGAAAACCCTGATCCCTAAACTTTGCAAACCCTAATTTCTCCCTGAACCGTAAACCCTATAAACCCTGAACCCTTGAAAACCCTAAACCCTAAACCCTAAACCCTACACAACTCCCACCTGCGGGAGCATCCCCAGGCGTCGCAAGGGCCCCACATCCATCGGCGGCACCGCACCGTCCTGTTTTTTTTGTTCGGTTTAGGGTTTAGGGTTTAGGGTTTAGGGTTTTCGGTTTAGGGTTTAGGGTTTATAAGGTTTAGGGTTTAGGGTTTAGGGTTTAGGCTTTAGGGTTTAGGGTTTAGGGCTACCTAAACCCCAAAAGTGCACCGAAATGATGGCCGTTTAGGGTTTAGGTGTTTGATGTTTAGGGTTTAGGGTTTAGGGTCCACAACATGAAGGGCATGTACTATCGTGGGCAACAAGTTGGGTGTACTTTGGGCGTTTTGGGCGAGGCCCTGGCCTCCCTTGCGGGGAGGAATCTAGAAGTGGAAGCCCCCCCAACGAAAATTTAGGGTTTAGGGTTTAGGGTTTTGGGTTTAGGGTTTAGGGTTATTCCCTTAAGGGTCCCGATATAAGTGTACTATAATAACCCCCAAGGCCACGCTACAAGGGGTCGGAAGAAGTACTACGAGTATTCCCTTAAAGTCCCGATATGATTTTGCTATACTAACCCTGAAGGTCGTAATATAGTATTATAGGGGTCGAAATAAGTACTAGCAGATACTAGCAGCATTCCCTTCGGGTCCCTATAGAAGTATACGATAAGCTGCTGGCAGTGGAAATCCACAATCGTTCTGGGAGGCTGGGGCTGCATTTCCGGAGCATTGGGAAAAGCTAAACTCTAAGATCCTAAACCCTGAACCCAGAACCCAGAACCCTAAACCCTAAACCCTAAACCCTAGAACTAACTGGTTGGATCCTCGGTTTTCCCTATGTTACTGGAATGACATAAACGGCACTCTGGGTGGGTTTAACTCTGTTTCGTGATGACTTGAAGCTGTCTGAGGGACCCTGGCCTCTTCATAGTTGCAAAGTACCCTGGGGCCTGGGCCATAAAAGGCTAGCCTCGCCAGTGTGGTAGGGGGTATATACCCCAAAAGGTTCGAGTGTAGAGGCTACCTACTCAGCTTCTCAGTCTTTGAAGAAAAGAACGGGATATGAGGGTACTACGTGGTATCGGTGAATCTCTGATTACTGGATACTCTTTTGGAATTTCGGATGCCCGCAACCTAAGCTGTGAAAGCGAGCAATCGGAGCCGCCAGACCCTAAACCCTAAACCCTAAACCCTAAACCCTAAACCCGAAACCCGAAACCCGAAACCCGAAACCCCAGGGAGTGATGGGATTTTGAGGTTCAACACGAAGAGCCCTAGGCCTTGAGCCCTTATTCAAAGTGAGCATCCGGTGCAGGAACGAAGTCCGTAGGACGAGATGTCCGAACTTTCCTCAGAAGCCAAGCTTGGCAGGTTCAGGGAGATTGAGGGTAATGGGGTTTAGGGTTTAGGGTTTAGGGTTGGGGTTTAGGGGTTAGGGGTTAGGGGTTAGGGGTTAGGGGTTCGGGGTTAGGGGTTAGGGGTTAGGGGTTAGGGTTTAGGGTTTAGGGTTTAGGGCTTAGGGTTTAGGGTTTAGGGTTTAGGGTTTAGGGTTTCGGATGGAGCGGCCCACGGAGACGCGACTGAGGCATACTTCTTTTCCAGTAGTTCGGGGTTTCTGGGTGCCCACCCTAAACCCTAAACCCTAAACCCTAAACCCTTAACCCTAAACCCTCGAAGGGTTGATCGAGACAATGGGTCATCTGATTCTTGGGTCTCCGTCATCGTAGGCTTCTTGGGTTCTAGGAGGGGAAAAAAGGGCTCATCATGCGGATCGGTTCCCTTACTTTTAAGACATGGGGGGGGGGGGGGGGGGTTCGGGGTTTAGAACGCTTTAGACTTTAGGGCTTAGCCCTAAACCCTAAACCCTAAACCCTACACCCTAAACTCTAAATCCTAAACCCTAAACCCTTAGGATTGTTAGGCTTTTGGCCCTTTCGTTGCCTTGTCTGAGACTGAGGCCCGAACTTGGTCGAGCATGTGCGGTGCATGCTGTTGCGGTGATACGTCGTTGCTTCCACCAACCGTCGGCTCCGCTGTATGTTTTAAGCTAGGCTGCCCAGTAACCTGGGCTTAAAAAGGGTGCCTTTTTTTTTTTGCTAAAAGGGGTTTATAAGGGAACCTAACCCCCCCAAAAAGGGAATAAGGGTACTACTGGGCATCCTAGTAAGTTCTTTCTGTCTGTCTTTCTGTCTGTCCTGTCCGGTGCGTGTTTTTTGTTTACTCTCTCTCTCTCTCTCTTTCTCCTTCTCCTTTCCTCCTCTCCTTTCCTCCTCCCCTGTGCACTTTTACTCAATATGCAGACAGCACAGGCATTACACAGAACCACCAACAACCGCATCATCAGTCATTTCTTACATCATGCCTTCGTCATCATCCATCTCCCACCACGCATCATCCTCACCACCGTCGTCACAAGAATCATAGTACGTCAAGGCTCTGGCCGCAGAACTCCATACCATGAAACAGCATCGCAGTGCTTGCCAGCTGCTCGTCAAAGAAGGTCACAAACCTCGCGCACTCAGAACAAGGGGCGGGTTGTTGAAAAAATGATGATCTAGTAACGAACTATAAGCAACACCTACAAGGCAACCCAAATGAAAGCAACATTTAAGCACAATACGCAACGTCCCAAAAACTCCGCTTGAGCATATAGATTAGGCCTGATTAGGCTGTGTAAGCGGATATCTGTGGCAAAACAAGTCGGTGTGTGTATATATAAGTGTATATATAAGTGTATATATATATATATATGTATACATATATATATGTATATATTTATGTATATATATATGTATATGTATATATATATATGTATATATATATATATATAATTTTTGAGGCCATGTTCATATGTTAAGCCATGTTCCTTCAATGGGGAAAGGGCGGGTAATCCCTAAACCCCGGACTCTAAACCCTGAACCCTAAACCCTAAACCCTAAACCCTTGAAACCCTCCCGATCTTTTGGAGGCCAGCGGCGCGTAGGTGCCACCACCTCGAATGGCGACGCGGCGCACGGCCGAGGCAGCCATGCCCATGGCTAGGTACCTGTAGGGATTAGGGAGGGATTAGGGTTTAGGGTTTAGGGTTTAGGGCTTAGGGTTTAGGGTTTAGGGATTGGGGTTTAGGGTTTAGGGTTTAGGGTTTAGGGTTTAGGGTTTAGGGGTTTAGGGGTTTAGGGGTTTAGGGGTTTAGGGTTTAGGGTTTAGGGTTTAGGGTTTAGGGTTTAGGGTTTAGGGTTTAGGGTTTAGGGTTTAGGGTATTTGTGTTTAGGGTTTAGGGTTTAGGGTTCAGTGGGCCCCTGTATCCGTGTAAGCGGACAACAACACAACATTCTACGTTTGAGACCATGTGCTCAAAACTTACTGCGTGAGGGTATCGCAATATTCGGAGCTGGGGTCTGCGTAGGGTTTTGTGGCTGTAAGACCCCAGGAGGATCCTTCCCAAGTGCACGGTATCATCAAAGCAGTTCAGGAGCACTCGGCCCCATTCCAATTGCGCTGCCGGGGCGGTGTTGGGCCTACATTAAGTTGGAAACTCCTCGAAACTTTTCCCGAAAATCCTCGAAAACCCCGAACCTGTAGACTCAATAGCTTCAATAAGCCCTAAACCGTAAACCCTGAACCCTAAACCCTAACCCTTCAACCCCCAACCCTCAACCCTACTGGCAGGGCCACCTCTCTTGATACAAAGGCAGCGCGCGGAATCGCAGCTCGAAGGCCTGGCTCTGGGCACTACCAGGGTTGAGGGTGTAGGCTTTGTGTGGGTTGAGGGGTCCTAAACCCTAAACCCTAAACCCCAAACCCCAAACCCTAAACCCTAAACCCTAAACCTCTCTTTCTATATGTATTTAAACTTTAATGCCCCCCGTGGGCCGCAAAATTTGCCCACGAACCCGGGCAAATGCCCATGAACTAGGCAAATTTGCCTAATTGATGGGCATTTTTGCCTCCTTCGTGGGCATTTTTGCCTGCTTTCGTCGCTAGTTCGTGGGCATTTTTGCCTGGTTCGTGGGCATTTTTGCCTGGTTGCCTGCTTCATGGCCATTTCCCCACCCCCCCCCTCCCTCCCCACCCCAGGGTTTAGGGTTTCAAGGGTTTAGGGTCTCAAGGGTTTAGAGTCTCAAGGGTGTAGGGTCTCATGGGTTTAGGCTTGGGTTTTGGGTCCGCTGGATTTTGAGCTTTAAGCCTACAGGGAATGCATTGAGTGAACTTTGTGTTTTCTCAATGTTGTGGGTTTTTTGGGCGGGCGGGTTTGTTTCTAACGCTTGACAAGGTGCCCGACTAGTGAATGCTCGGACTTGAGATGCTGAACCCTAAACCCTAAACCCCTTGAGAGGGATTCAGGGGTTTGGGGCCCCAAGAGGTGAAGACGTTTAGGGTTTAGGGGGCTTTGGTAACCTGCCTCCAGAAACTCGGAATGAACAAGGGAAGCCTTTTTGTACATAAACCCTAAGCCCTAAGCCCTCTAAGCCCTAAGCCCTAAGCCCTAAACCCTAAACCCTAAACCCTAAACCCTAAACCCTAAGCCTTTCGCGCAGCCTGAGGTTGACCGAAGGGAACCCAAGCCCACTTTTGTTGGCAGGAGAGCAGCAGCCGCTTCGAGGCAGGCTGTAGCCGAGGTTTCAGGGCTTAGGGTTTATAGGGTTTAGGATTTAGGGTTTAGGGTGACTATGGCGCGTCTTGCGTGCTGTTTTGGGTTAGGGTTCTTAACCGGGAAGAGGGCTTACGGGTGTGCATATGTCAAGGTCTCTGAGCCACGGATTACTGCGACCTCACAAAGGCAGAGGCTGCAGTGATTGGAGGGTTTAGGGTTTAGGGTATCCCTAAACTCAAATCCTAAACCCTGATGCAGTCCCGAGAGAATCCGAACATCAAATCGCGAGCCGCAACTGTAACCCCGAACAAATCATTTGTCCCTCCATTTCCTGCGACCGTTTGAGGCTTTTGGGTTTAGGGTCCCTGCAACATTATAACTCTAAACCGTAGCATCCACACATGGACCAGTTGGCGGCCTGTTGGAGCTCAGCCGCGGTTCCATCAGGGCTGAGATTGCAGCAAAACACCTGGCAGCTCATCTAAACCGTAAACCCTTAAAACTTAAACCCTAAACCCTAAACCCGTACCAAAACACGAGGGTCCCCTGTTTAGGGTTTAGGCTGGAGGGAGTCCGAGCCAAAAAAAGGGGAAGTTTTCATACTCCCAGGCCTGCAGCCTAAACAAAAGAGCCATGTGCCCTGGGGCTTAGCTGGTTTTGGAGCTTAGGGTTTAAGGCTTAAGTTTAAGGTTTAAGGTTTAGGTTTCAAGGTTAAGGGTTTTGGGTTTAAGGTTTAGGGTTTTGGGGGGTTTAGCTGGCTAGATGATAAATCTCACGCCCAACAATGTGAAGCCTATCAGTATGGAACTACCAGCGGGAACAAACCTTGACCCACACCCCGACTGTTCTGGGAATCCCTCTCCCAAGTGAACGCAACCAACCTTCTCTGCAATTACTTCAACCAGACCCAAGAGTAACCTAGGGAAAAACAACTTGGAGCACTTTTTGGTTTAGAGGGGCTGTTAAAGGCACCCAAACTCTAAACAAAGGGAATAAGGGCCTATAAACTCTGGGTCCTAGCCAATCTAGGAGACGAAGCCAGGGCCTGAAGGTCACTTCTCTAGATTGTGCTCCTTTGGGGGTCACTACTATAAGGCGCGCCTCTCTTTAAGGTACCCAAATAAAGGGACCACTATTTTGACATCTGACCTGAAGGGCTCCGAGTCACCCGATAAGGATGCAGGAACTTGCCTAAACCCTAAACCCTAAACCCTAAACCCTAAACCCTAAACCCTAAACCCTAAACCCTAAACCCTAAACCCTAGAAACCCTAAACCCCTAAGACAGAAACCCGAGACCCTCAAACCCTGAACGTCAGCTCGGCCTTGCGCTCCCCTTCTGTGGCCTGCAGGGGTTGAAGGTTTCGGCTGGTTTGGGGTTTAGGGTTGAGGGTTTAACCCTACAGAAGTCTGAGGGAGTTTAGGGTTTGGGGTTTTGGGTTTAGGGTTTAGGGTTGAGGGTTTAACCCTACAGAAGTCTGAGATCTACAGCCCTCTGACACCGAAGACCATCAAAAAAGAGGTTAGAGCCTAGGAAGCTATAGAACTGTGTACATCGAACTGCAGAGACCCCGGTAGCCGCACCTGGGTTGGCCGATATCCCCGCCGGAGCACGGGCGCGTGCCAGTTTCTGGGCGGGCACGGCGCAGATGCCTTCGGGAAGACCACCTCCAGTCGTGGCAGTTTAGGGGGGTTTAGGGTTTAGGGCTTAGGGATTAGGGTTTAGGGTTTCGAGGGTTTAGGGCAGGGTTTGCGGCAACTCTGTCCAGGCGTGTTTTGAGACTTGTGGGCCTTTGGCATGGTGTTTGAACGAGGCGCCGTAGGCTTGTGGATTCTGATGCAGGGTGGCCTAAACCCTAAACCCTAAACCCTAAACCCTAAACCCTAAACCCTAAACCCTAAACCCTAAACCCTAAACCCCAAACCCCAAACCCTAAACCCTTAATGGACCCCAAGGCTCCCTAAGCCCTTAAGGCTCCCAAACGAACTTTGAATCTCGACACTCCGAACCTGGCCCACGGCCTTGAGGGTTTAGGGTTTAGGGTTTAGGGTTTAGGGTTTAGGGTTTAGGGTTTGGGGTTCAGGGTTCAGCCCAAGCCTCTAGACTTACTGTTGGTTAGTAGGGAATGAGGGAATGAGGTATCCTATTTAATCCCTTAAAGGTATATATATATGTATATATGTATATACATATATATATATGTATATATATATATATAGGGGGACATAATATTTGGGGGTACTATCGTCCCTATTAAGGACCTTCTCGTATAAGGGGCAGCATCCCAACCTATGTGCACCCTACTCCCTGAAACCCGAAACCCCTATCAGTTGGGAGTGTTCAAATTGCGGCTGTTGCAAGTTAGGAATCTCAGAAATGACCAGCCAGCGTGCGGAAAAGGGAGACTGTTGGGTCTGAGGGTTTCAGGCTTGACCAGAAAAGCGAGTCTAGTTTTTGGGTTTCTTGGGCCTTTTCAGGGCGTTCAGAATCGGGGTACGGGGTTTACAGGGTTTACAGGGCTAATAGGGTTTTTAGGATTCATGGGCTTTGTAGGGTTTATAGGCTTTATGGGGTTGATACGCTGTCTGGGGTTTACAGGTTTTATGGGGCTTATAGGGTTTACCCCTAAACCCTATCAACCCTAAACCCTGAACCCTAAACCCTAAACCTCATTATTTATAGGGTTTGTAGGGTTTGTAGGGTTTAGGGTATAGGCTTCCCGAGGTGGAGAGGGCGCCTGGACATCATCGGAAGACTCGGCTGAGGACCTGGGCAGCTTGAGTCAGTGAACCCTCTTAGTCGTAACCCCCGAAGCCCTCTTAGGGTTTAGGGTTTAGGTTTAGGGTTTAGGGTTGTGGGTTTAGGGTTTAGGGTTTCGGATTTTGGGTACCCCTATAAAGTAGCCAACCCCAAAAAAGGGTGCCCGTACTGTAATACGGTTACTGGGCCACCAAGGTAGAATATAGGGGTCGGAAGACCTACAAATAGTATTCCCTTCTGGCCCCTATATAAGTATACCATAACCGTAACCGCCCCCCCAAAGAACCCTTTCCGAATTGTTCCGACCTCTGTATTGAGGCTTTTTTCCTAATGTCTAGACCCCAAGCATTCCTCCAAAAGCCCGAACAAGGCTCCGACCCCAAACCCGAAACCCTAAAACCTTAACCCTTAACCCATAAACCCTAAACCCTAAACCCCAAACCCTAAACCCTAAACCCTGAACCCTAAACCCTAAACCCTAGACCCTAGACCCTGAACCCCCTCTTCCAATTCTGCAGGAGTGAAGTCTATACAAGGCCACGAGGAATCTTTCTTATGATTAGAAGCCACACAAGAACCCGGACCTCTCGACCGCCCAAACCCGCCCAACACCCTGGCCCTAAATCTAGGGGTTGTACCCCTAAACCTTAAAGCCTAAACCCTAAACCCTAAATCCGAAACCCTACACCCTAAACCCTTGAAACCTGCAGGTTGTGCTCTTAAGTTTCGGAGACCCGTTTTAAAGATCCTGAAGGTGGTACCCAGGGGTACGAGTCTTACCCCCCTCTTGGCTAAACCCTATTCGCCCCCCGTAAAGCCAAAAAGGCCCTCAACCCAAACTGCGACGACCCAGGGGCGACGATTCCGTGTCGCTGGCGTCATATTGAGGTGCATCCTTGGTAACCCTAAACCCTAAACCCTAAACCCTAAACCCTAAACCCTAAACCCTAGGAACCCTAAACCCTATAAACCCTAAACCCTAAACCCTAAACCCTAAACCCTAAACCCTAAACCCTAAACCCTAAACCCTAAACCCTAAATGCTAAACCCTAAACCCTAAACCCTAAACCCTAAACCCTAAATCCTAAACCCTGAACCCTAAACCCAGCCTGGCGACTCCGGGGCTTGAGGGGGCGACTTTGGGGGCTCAGGGACTTGAGGTTTTCAAGAGCCCTAATATAGCGACCTCAAGAATTTGAATATATTTTTTTTTTTTTTGGGGGGGGGGGGGGGGGGGGGGGGGGGTTCTTATAGTATAGCTATAAGGGGACCATAAGGGAATACTATTAGAATTTTCCGACCCCTAAGCCCAGCACCACCCAGCATCCCATCCGCCAGCAGATGGGGCACGCTGCTTCGCGAGGGTTAATCCCCCCCCCCCCCCTCGCTCTTTATGTGAGAACCGGAAACCATCAAAAGGGCCCCGCCTTTTCAAACGAGCCCCCAAGAGTACGCAAACACAAACGTAATGGGGCTCCGTACATGGGGTGCCCATCAGCGGCTGCTTAAGTCAGGTGAGGGTTGTTTTAGGGTTTAGGGTTCTGCTTGCGGCTCGTATCTTTGGGTTTTCACCCTTTATACCAACAGTCCTTAATAGGGATGATAGTACCCCCTATAAATACTCCCAGTTAAGGAGCTGTTAGTATAAGGGGGAACAACACAACTAGTATCTCTAAACCCTAAACCCTAAACCCTAAACCCTGAACCCTGAACCCTAAACCCTAAACTTAGTATCCCTCAACTCCGCAAATCCCGACTGCCGTCTGACCGGGCGGTTGTCCTCGGCATCGGTGGCTTCGACGACGTTCTTCGGACGGAATGCTGCAGGAAAGCCTAAGGCTTTGGAGTTAGGGTTTAGGGTTTAGGGTTTAGGGTTTAGGTTTAGGGTTTAGGGTTTAGAGTATAGGGTTTAGGGTTTAGGTTTAGGGTTTAGGGTTTAGGGTTTAGGGTTTAGGGTTTAGGGTTTAGGGTTTAGGGTTTAGGGTTTAGGGTTTAGGGTTTAGGGTTTAGGGTTTAGGGTTTAGGGTTTGAGGTGTAGGGAACTAATGGTTACAAGGTTCAGGGTTTGGAAAGATGCCCTGGAAGTGGTGCGAAACTTCTGCATGGTTCTGGTGGGCAGCCACTTCCAACTCAATAGGTTTTCAGATAAATAGCTAACGAGTGTATGGGCAAAGCGAATTCCGAACTTCGATCACGCCTCCAAGCCTCTAATCCTTCCTGTTTCCTCGCAAGCCTCTGTAATGCCTGAATAAACCCGTAGTGGGCCCATGTGTTTGCTGGGACCCTAAAACCACTTTGTAGGAACCTCTTTAATTAATTAAGGCCCAAGTATAGATCGACTATGCGAGTAAATGGACTTTGTGGGAACAACGTTGAATCGACCCCGGACAAGGAGCCAATACAGCGGCGGCAGCAGCAGCCCACGGCGCAAGTCTCATCTGCCTGCATTGGGAGCTGGGTTCAGGTTCGGGTTTCAAGAGGTTGTTCGGGGTCTTTGGGCCAGGCTATCGGCTGTCGATTGGGCATGGGGCGAGGACATGCGACGTCTGGTCTTCCGAAGAGCTCCCCTAAACAACCTGCAACCCTCGTTATCCTAAACCCGAAACTCTCCAAAATCCGAAAAGTCCATGGTGGGAGGCCACAAACCCAAACGGCCCATGTACCCACACAGTATATACTTGGGCCTTCAAGGGGCTACTATATAGTAGCCTTAGGGCTCAAGTATCTACTTTCTAGGTACATGGACTCTTAGGGAAAACAGAAGCCCTAAACCCCAAACTTTCTGAAGCCCTCAGCCGTACCAGCCCTTCAACAGAGCACGTGCCGATCGACAGAAGTCAATCCTTGCCCACCAGAGGCCTCATAAATCTTTTCTAAACCCTCCTAAACCCTAAACCCTATAAACCCTATAAACCCCATAAACCCCATAAACCCCATAAACCCTATAAACCCCATAAGCCTTCACACCCTAAAAACCCTACAAACCCCATAAACCCTATAAACCCTGTAAACCCTGTAAACCCTACACCCTAAACCCTAAACCCTAAACCCTAAACCCTAAACCCTAAACCCTAAACCCTAAACCCTAAACCCTAAACCCTAAACCCTAAACCCTAAACCCTAAACCCTAAACCCTCCCAAACCCTACACCCTAAACCCTAAAGCCCCGCGGAGCCAGCCTTGGGTGCACCCCGGAGCTGCGCTCGCTGGCGCGCGACGTGGTACCAGGCTTTCAGGTTGTCCTCGCTGGGAGTACTTGGTTCAACCAGCAACCAGATTACAGGTTTAGGGTTTAGGGTTTAGGGTAATTAGGGTAATTAGGGTAATTAGGGTAATTAGGGTTTAGGGTTTAGGGTTTAGGGTTTAGGGTTTAGGGTTTAGGGTGTAGGGTGTAGGGTGTAGGGTTTGGGGTACCCTTTGCGTGGTTGGCTACTTTATCTGGGGGAACCTGGAACCAAAAGAACAAGGGCACAAAGGCAGTACTGGGCGACCAAACCCTAAACCCCAAACCCTAAACCCAGGAGTCTGAAGCCCTGAAACCTCAATCTCCGACCCTTCGCGTCGGAGTCCGAGCAAAAGCCCGGAAGTGTTGAACCCTGGAAGCCCCTGAAGTTTCAGCCATATTCGCCCGCAATTTGTTAAAGCCCAAACCCTAAACCCTAAACCCTGAACCCTAAACCCTAGACCCTAAACCCTAAACCCTAAACCCTGAACCCTAAACCCTAAGGTTTTGGAGTCTGAACCCCATCAACTCTACACCTGGAGGTCGAGGGCTCCAGGGCTTGAGCTTTGAGGTGGGCCCGAGCTTAGGGTTTTATGCAGGGCTTAGGGTTTAGGGTTAGAAGAGTTTAAGGCTACAAGAGCTTAGGGCCTCGGCATGAGATGTCCGTTTAAGGGGGCTTAGGGAACGCACGAAGGTGCGAGGCTCAGAGTTTTTTTGGGGGGGCTTTCAGCGTCTTGGCGCCAGTTCGTCGAAGGGTGCAAGCCCAACAGGAGCTTAAAACACAAGGAACCTAGACCCACATGGCCTTAAAGTAGGGCCTAGGGTTTAGGGTTTGGGGCTTCGGGTTTCGGGTTCAGGAAGGGTTCCGGGTTTGACGGGTTTAGAGTTTCAAGGCCAAAGCCACAAGGATGTACACCCAGAGAAGGTCTAGGCTTTACGACGAGTCTCCACCTGCCACCCATGACAATGCTGCCAGGCTTTGTGCCTGAACGAAGGAAACCTTAGCCAAATTTCAGAAGAAAGTCGTGTCAGGGTTTAGAGTTCAGGGTTGGCTTCGGATTTAGGGTGTAGGGTTGAGAGGCGTAGGCCTCTAAACCACCACAACGACGCGCTATGAATTGTTATCTGCTGCATGCCCCTCTGAGGGTAGTTATGTGGTCCCGTAGTATGCCTTGAAAGGGCTCTGAGGCATGGACCCTTGGGTATGTGGGGTATGTAGGGGCTCCCCTTTTCAGGGCCCATACCAAGGGACCCTTTGACTACCCTAAGAGCTCCGAAAGCTTTACATCACCATGGAGCTTCGTCCCCCAAAGGAATGCAGTTTAGGGTTTAGGGTACTCGGGTGTTGTTGAGGGTACTCACTTCCATAACAAAACACTTACAAACACCTCAACCTGGACTGAAGAACACTTGAAATAGCTGTGGCACCCGGAAGGTTCAGCGTGGTGCTTAGGTTTTAGTTGCATGTTCGATCCGTTAGGTAGTTTAGAGCTGGGGTTCAGCCTCGTGCCAGAAGGGTCAACCAGGCAGCGATTGAGCAAACGATTCGAAGCCAACCCCTCTCCAATCCGAAATCCCACACTAACCCCCACCTGAAAACCCCTAACCCTATGCCCCCAAAGAAAAGCAGAAGGGATCCTTTGCCGGCCCCAAACAGGCGGGCCGGGGTGGAGGGAGGTTCTCCACAAAATGCTGGCCTCAAACCTGCGGAAGCTCCAAACAGCCCCAAACACTCAAAGCCCCGTGAGCCCTACCTGGACACCCGAAGCTCCCGAAAAATAGAACGGACGTAGTATAAGCCTAAGAACAGGAAGAATAATATGATTGACATGTGTATATATATATATATATGTATATCTATGTATATATATATATATATACTTGGTGTAATTACCCAGTTTCATGTATGCATGATGTACATATACATATACATATACATATACATATACATATACATATACATATACATATACAGATACATATATACATATACATATATATATATACGTATGCGTGCATGCATGCATGCATGTATGTGTGTGTGCGCATGCATGCATGCATGCATGCATGCATGCATGCATGCATGCATGCATGCATGCATGCATGCATGTATGTATGTATGTATGTATTACGTATGTGTATATATATATATAGAGAGAGAGAGGGAGAGAATATATATATATATATGTACAACAGAACAGAGACACTCTCTAGGCAGCTTAGTGGCCTCGGCAAACCGACTAGCCCCCTTGAGGCCTTGTCATTTGCCGAGCCACATCGGAGCGCACATTGGGAAGAAGCCGATGCCTGGCAGTCCGGAATGCCAGGGCCTCGGACGGCTTTGGAAAGTTTAGGGTTCAGGGTTTAGGGTTTGATCCAACCCCCCCCCCCCCCCTCCCTCCCATCCGAGCTATTCTACCCAAAAAAAACCAGAACAAAGTAGCTGAGGGTAAGGTGGGCCTTTTGTTCCGGGTAAGGGGGGTCGTTTGGGTGACGGGAGCATCCGATCCCATGATCCAGCTTGGGTACTTTTGTTGGGTAGGGGTTCGGATGTTCCCCCTTATACTAACAGTCCTCCGAAGGAATTGTACTACCCCCCCCCCCCCCCCTTGGAATCCCTTTAAAGGACTGTTAGCTTCAAAGGCCCGCAGGCGCCTATGGCTTTCAGGCGGCGGGCTTCTAGCCGCCAAGGGAAAATTGCTTATTCCAGCGTTCAGAGACACCTTTCAGGCGGCTGGCACCCTGCCCCACAACCTGAAGTAGGGTTTAGGGTTTAGGGTTCGGGGTTTAGAGTTTATGTGTAGGACATGAAGGGGAGCACGGAGAGTTTGCAATCACACCCTAAACCCTAAACCCTGAACCCTAAACCCTAAACTCTAAACCCTAAACCGCAAACCCTAAACCCTAAACCCTAAACCCTAAACCCTAAACCCTAAACCCTAAACCCTAAACCCTAAACCCTAAACCCTAAACCCTAAACCCTAAACCCTAAACCCTAAACCCTAAACCCTAAACCCTAAACCCTAACCATAAACCCTAAACCCTAAACCCTAAACCCTAAACCCTAAACCCTAAACCCTAAACCCTAAACCCTAAACCCTAAACCCTAAACCCTAACCCTAAACCAAGCTTAACTACGGAGCACGAACAGATCGGGCAGCGGCCTCGGCCCATCATCTTCTGTCTCATCCGTCGATCTTGGGCCACCAAAGACTGTTAGGGTTTAGGGTTTAGGGTTTAGGGTTTAGGGTTTAGGGTTTAGGGTTTAGGGTTTAGGGTTTAGGGTTTAGGGTTTAGGTTTAGGGTTTAGGGTTTAGGGTCTTTGTAAGGCTTTAAGGGAGGCTTTTGAATCGCTGAAGACAGGCGATATGTGTGATACCCTTCAACCCAAAGCACACACTTCTAGTCTCTGGGTGTATTCTTTGGGGCAAATGGGGGTACAGGGCACGAAGTGTGGAACAGTTGGGGTTTTCCCTTCAGGATGCAGTTTGGTAATCGGCGACTTGAAAGAGAGTGGTTCTAGGGTTTTGGGTTTTGGGTCCTAGGGGTTTGTGGAAACACAGCACCCGCACCTGGCGAAGGCCCAGCAATACCCTGCGGCATTGCATTGTGAGATGAGAGCCCTAGAAACCCCAAAGCCCCCTGAACCATTGAGCCAGCAGCCCTGAATCTTCCAGACAAAAACTTCCACAAACCTCAAGCCCTAAACCCTAAACCCTGAACTAAGCCCTAAACCCTAAACCCTAGTTCAGATGGACTCAGTGCCCTCCACCTTCAGAACTAACAGAATCCCAGTGGCTCGCAGGAGCTGTTGGCCGATGAGCACGGTGAAGCTGAGCCGGGACTTGAGATCTCTGTGCAGGAATCCTTGGTGCTTGTTGTTTTTTTTTTTGTTTTGGGCGGGGGGGGGGGAGGGGGGAGAGTAAGGGTTCAGGGGTTTAGGGTTTAGGGCTTAGGGTTTAGGGCTTATAGGGCTTAGGGTGAGGGGGACGGGGGCTGTTCCAAAGTTCTCTTAAAGGGGGACCTTGGAACGGAATCTTGCTAATTGATATTTTGGGGACAGGCATCTTGAACCTCCAAAGTTTAGGGTTTAGGGTTTAGGGTTTAGGGTTTAGGGTTTAGGGTTTAGGGTTTAGGGTTTAGGGTTTAGGGTTTAGGGTTTAGGGTTTACCCCTCAACCCTCTTGACTGATGAGGCCACTAGAGGAAGCCGCGGCTCAAATTGGGAACCTCAAGCACCAACGCAAGTATGAAGGATCCTTAAATTCGACCCAGACTTCGGCTTTCAGGAAGGAATCCGTCTAAGAGTAGCTTTATGGTCCCTTGTTCCCTTGATTTGGGCCCTTTAAAGAGGACCCCTTGTCTACCCATGTTTTCAGGGGTCTGGGTATATGTTACGCCCGGAACCCTACACCCTAAACCCTAAACCCTAAACCCTAAACCCGAGAGAAACCCTAAACCCTAAACCCTAAACCCTAAACCCTAAACCCTAAACCCTAAACCCTAAACCCTAAACCCTAAACCCTAAACCCTAAACCCTAAACCCTAAACCCTAAACCGCAACCTCCCAGAAGCCCTGCCTTGCAGTTTGATGCCTCATCTTCCCTCTGCAGGTTGTCGCCGGCCTCCTTGTGGGAGGGGCTTAGTTTAGGGTTTAGGGTTTAGGGTTTAGGGTTTAGGGTTTAGGGTTTAGGGTTTAGGGTTTAGGGTTTAGGGTTTAGGGTTTAGGGTTTAGGGCTTAGGGCTTAGGGCTTAGGGTAAGGGACTTCAGGAAGCCCGAACTACTTACTGTTGGTTCGTAGGGAATTTGGGAATGAGGTACCCCATAGCCCCCTCTACATACCCTTTACGGGACTATGTAGGGTACCTCATTCTCTCAGTCCCTACTAACCAACAGCAAGACTACCAATTGCTTCAGAACCCTCCAAGAATATTCTCCTTACAAGGGAAATACAGGGATTAGTATTGTTTATTTTTTGGGGGGTTCTTAAGCACATAGTAGCTAAGCCGATGTAACCCAAAACCCTGAAAGACTACAAAGCCTATACGCCCTAAATCCCGAACCCCCCAAAACCCTAAACCTTCTAGTTCAGGGCTTAGGGTTTGGGGTCCTGATCCTGGCGGGCGATGGCACGCCCAGCTTCCGACGCTTCCGGCTCACACTTTGTGGCACAAGGATCCTGCAGGAAGGCCGTGAAGCTTCCGGGTTGCAGGTTTAGGGTCTAGGGTTTAGGGTTTAGGGTTTAGGGTTTTAGGGTTTTAGGGTTTAGGGTTTAGGGGGTTTAGGGGGTTTAGGGGGTTTAGGGGGTTTAGGGGGTTTAGGGGGTTTAGGGGGTTTAGGGTTTAGGGTTTAGGGTTTAGGGTCCCTAAGGCTCCAAATGGCCCAAGTGGGCATTACCTTTACAGGGTACAGCGCAACGACAACTTGTAATTATCAACCACATACGCCCGGAAAACATGCTCTGCAATGCTCGAGATGGCTTCATGGTGTTGGGCTCTTGGATTCGGTGTCGTGGTTTAGGGTTAGAGGTTTAGGGTTTGCGGTTTGGGGCTTAGGGCAAGGGACCATATTAAGGGACCATGAAACTACCCTAAACTCCCCCGCGTTCCCTCTCCCCCAACATGCTGCGGCTGCCTTCTCCACCTCCATTACGACTTCCGTCTCCATGTTCCTTGGTATGGCACTCGGGCGGCTGTTACACAGCCTAAGTTGGCAGCCTACACCCTAACTCCGTGAACCCGAAACCCTAAACCCTCAACCTTAAATCCTAAACCCCCATAAGCCCCAAAAGTGCCAACTCCTAATACGGGCCCTTCTGGGCATCCTAGTACAGTTTGGCCCTTGAAAAACCTTTGGAGCAATAAGATCCTTCCCTAAACGCTCAACTCCAAACCCCCCAAGAAGGGACATGTGAAACATCCCAGGATCCCTACTTGGTAGTTCTATCGCGGCAACAGCGACTGGAGGGAGGGCAAGCTAAGACTTCAAGGCTGTTGGCTTATAGGGCTTGGGGTTTGTAGGGCTTACCTGTAACCCCAATTACCTAAAGCTTTATGGGTTCTACATATTGCTTTAGGGCTAGGTACCAATAAACTGCAGGAAATTGGGCGGCTACAGGTAGGCCTTAGGGCTGAGGGGTTAGGGTTTGGGGGTTGTCGGGCTTTCGGAGGGTTTATAGGGTTTACAGGGTTTATGGGGTTTAGGAACAGAATCGAATCAAAGACCTTCACGTGCAAGCAAGACCGAGTGTCACATCTTGCTGCTCCTGCTGCAGCTTCTGCTCTGGGGGGCCGTCCTCTGCAGGCCTAAAACCCCTAATTAAACCCGTATCCTTGAACCCTAAATTGGTGTCACCCCAGTAGGCAAAGCCCTTCTTCATTGGTCGAACGGCGCAAGTCCGACCGAACCTCATACGCCAAACCCTAAACCCCAAACCCTAAACATTGCTTCTGGGGCCCCTCAACCCCAAACCCTAAACATTGCTGCTTGTGTCATGGGGTGGTGGGGATCGCAGGTACGTATAGCCTTCAGTTCCCACATAAAGGAAGCCCCTTTTTTTGATGGGGTTTAAGAGGAGTAAGCACTAAGCCTCTGAGCCTGAGTGGGGGGGTTTCCGCAACAAAACGGGGGGCTTCCTCTTTGGGGGCTTCCTAGAATGAGGAATATAATGTTTTTGGTGTCTATTAGGGGGACCCTATGTCGGGAACTAGCCTAAAGCCTCGACCCTAAACCCCAAACCCTACACCCCAAACCCGAAACCCTAAACCCTAAACCACCGGACGCCCTGGGCTCTGGGCAGCCCTGAAGGTCCTTGGCAGCATCCACGGCCGCTTTCAGCACGACGGGCAAGCGACTGGGATTCTGCGGCTTGAAGGCGGGCGTGCGCGGGCTTGCAGCGGTTCCTCAGATGAGCCCTTCGGGTTGCCAGAAGCCGTCTTCTGGAAAGTGGTAACTCCGCCACACATCACACATCTTGAGGGTCTCTCTAGGCTTTCGGAGGACTTCAGGGTTCAGGATTTCGGGGTTGGGGCTCCAAGGACCGCAGAATTGAGGGCTTCATGGAATCTCCCGAAATCATGGGGTGGTTGTGCATTGAAAAAACATAACAAAAAGGATTCTCAGGTGGGAACGACTTCGACTGCACCCCTCCCTACTGGCTTTTCGCCCAACAACATATCCATTTACTGTATGTGTAATGTAGATGAATTTACCAACAAGAACCCCCCCCCCCCTCCACCCTTGCCCCTCCAAATCCTGTAAAATTTGTTTGGTGCCACCCAATAAAAATTTAAAGAATGTAAAGACTTAAAGATTGTAAAGGGGCCACCCCCCACCCCCTTTAAACTTTAAGTGGGGGTGCCCCAACTCAGCTTTAATGATTTCAAAGTATCTGAAAGATATAAAAGCGCCTCCCTGTTAACATTTTACTGTAATGAGGGCCAAATTCAATCTCAAAGATTTCAAAGCTTTTAGTGATTCTCAAGATATTTTCAAAAGACCCCCCCCCCCTCCCCAACAAAAATAAATAAGCATATAAATCAATGGGGCCTGCACGGAATCTACCGCAAAAGGGATCATCATTTTGACAGCCACTCATGTAAAGTTCAAGGCTTTGGGGCTAAGGGGGCCGCAGTGCGTCCCGCTTTCAAGTCATGCACACTCCAAATCTCACAGTTGGCGCAGATCTCTTCCAGTGGCTTCTTGCTTGCTGCTCCTGCCTCGACTTTCGCAAAGCCCCAAGCCTTCCCAAATCCTAAGCCCTAAACCCGAAACCCCTAAACCCTAAGACCTAAGACCTAAACCCTAAACCCTAAACCCTGAACCCTAAACCCTAAACCCTAAACCCCTGAACCCTTTTCTCTGCGGTGCAGGTGGCCAGGAGACTTGGGTGACTCGATTTCCGCATCTTGGGGCCGGGAGCGGTCTGCCACGAAGACCATGAGATTCCTTCTAGAAGAATTTAGGGTTTAGGGTTCAGGGCTTCTAGGGTTTATGGGTTTAGGGTGTAACTTAGGGTTTAGGGGGATTAGGGGGGTTTAGGATTTTGGGGAGATTTAGCATTTTCGGGACACGGGCAGGTTGAGATTTCCAGGGTTCTTCAAGAGGCTTAGGGCGTTCGGTTTAGTTCAGGGTTTCTTCATGGGTTCCCCCTACTACCCCCCCCCCCCCCCCCTCCTACCCCCCCCCCCCCCCTAGGTCCCCCCCTTAAATAACCTGAATTAGGCTTAGCCTTAAACATGGCGGGAACCTGGGGGTGGGGGGGGCGGGGGGTAGTATAGAGGGGGTAGTAGGGTACCCAAACCCTAAACCCTAAACCCTAAACCCTAAACCCTAAGGATTTCTGGTGCAGGGCTCATGGCCCTGACATTCTGCTCGCATGGGCTCGCAAGGAGCTATGAGGATGCCACGGTGGGTTTAGCGGTGCGAAGCCATGCTCTTGGCTTCTGACAGCTTGGGAGCTGGTTTAGGGTTTAGGGTTTAGGGTTTAGGGATTGTACGCGTGCACTCTCATTCGCTGTGATTCCCTGCCTTCTTTCTACGACCTCAAAGAGTGTTGAGGGAGGTTGGGCCTTGAGGGTTACAAGCAAGACTTGATTCGCAGATGAGGGGCTGTCGGAGAGCCCCTGTATATCTATATATCTATATATCTATATATCTATATAACTATATATCTATATATCTATATATATATATATATATATCTATATCTATATGTAATATATATATATACTCCGCTGTTCGGTTTGTGGAAAACCCCCGAAACGAAGCCTTGTCATCCCTCATGAATACATGCAAGTGCCTAAACCCTAAACCCTAAACCCTACACGCTAAACCCTAAACCCTAAACCCTACACTTACACCCTAAACCCTAAACCGTTCCAATGCCCAGGCTCCCACACTGTCGGCTTACCAGTGGCGGAACGCCGCGGCCTCGCCGCGGCGTCCGTGGCGTGCGGGGTGACAGGCTGCGCGCTCCCCTCGACATGATGGGCACCTCGGCTGGTTTAGGGTTTAGCTTTTGGGCGGTTTAGGGCTTAAGGTTTAGGGTTTAGGTTTAGGGAACACCACTATGCCATGGAACCCCTTTAAATTGAACTTGCTTGTTCCCGAATCGTTGCGACCAACTGGGCCTGAATTCCGAAACAAAGGCTCAAACTATGCAGTTGCGCAGAGTTGTTGGGGTCAGCTAGCAGAAATCCTGGACGAGAGCGGCTTTCGAACCCTGAACCCTAAACCCTAAACCCTAGAGCCCTAGAACCCTAAACCCTATAAACCCATCTCACTTCAGGCCAGCCCGAGCCTCAAGGTCTGTAGCCATCCAAACGCAAGCATTGATCCCAAG